CAGTTCTAGCTGCTGACCTAGGAGGGTGAGGCTGGAGGACTGTGTGAGCAGTCCTCAAAACGCAATGGAATCAACAAAAGAAGAGAGAGAGAGAATTTAAAAGGCGGGGAGGTAGAGATGGCTCAGTGGGTGGAGGCTCTTACCACGGAGCCTGATGGTCTGAGCTCAGTCCCGGGGCCCCAGAGGGTGGAGGAAGTGTCCCTCTGACCGCATGGGCACTGCGGTGTTCTAGTATGGGTGTGCACTCATGCACACACGTGTACACAGAGAGAATAGGTAAATGTAACAAAAATTTAAAGAAGAGAGCCGGGTGTGGTGGCGCGTGCTTTTGATCCCAGCACTCAGGAAGGAGGCAAAGGCAGGCGGCTCTCTGAGTTCGAGGCCAGACTGGTCTACAAAGTGAGAAACCCTGTCTCGAAAAATAAAAAAACAAACAAAAAAAAAAAAAAAAAAAAGAAAGAAAGAAAGAAAATTAATGAACCAGATATGGTGGCGCACTACTTTGATCCAAGTATGTAGAAGGCAGAGGCAGATGGAGTTCAAGGCCAGCCAGGGTTACATAATGAGATCCTGTCTCAAAGATGTGACACACACACAAACATCTGCATTACCAAAAAAGTCCCAGCTCAGACGGATGCGAACTTCCATAAGCTACATAGGACCCCCTTTAACCCTGCACATCTCTATGACATTATCAACAGGAGACAGGAGTCTAGTAAGAATGGCTTATTAGAGCATGAGCCCAGGGCTCACTGGGTTATGGAGCCCAGAGAGGTGGGCAGGATCCAGGAGGTGTGTGTGTGGGGGGGGTGTCGGGTTGTGCTTTGCTCTCGTGGGAATCCCTTTCCTTTTTGGATCTCAGTTCTGTTTGTAAACGGTGTCACTGTGAGGGTCCTGTCCCATGTCTAGCTGGGGCAGAGTTACAGCCAGGAGGGGCACAGGTGTGGGCGCTAACCTCTCTTCTCACACCCTCCCATAAGGAAACAGCACTCCTTTAATCCCAGCACTCCAGAGGCTGAAGCAGGTGGATCTCTGGGAGTGTGAGGCTAGCCTGGTCTACATAGTTCCAGGACAGTAAGATCCCTATCTCAAAAAAACAAAACAAAACAAAACAAAACAAACAGATTTTTATTTTTTTACATCTCTTTATGCGGGTCCTGAGGGAATGGGACTCAGACTGTCAGGTGTAGCCCAAAGCACTTTTAACTGCTGACTCATACAGCCAGACCTTCGTTCTTTTTCTTTCTCTTTTTAATTAGACCCTGAGCCTAACCCACGGGAAGGCGTTGGCTCAGCCGAGCCTTCCCGCTTCATTAATCTAATTTAGATTATCCCACACATGCATGCCCAGGTGTTAACCTCGTCTGGGTAATTGCCCACAGGTGTGCCAGGAGGTTTGCCTCCTGGGCGATTCTGGATCCTGACAGGCTGGCAATCTGTCTTAATCATCATCATGTATGAGCCTCGGTGTTGAAGGACAATTCACGCAGGTGTGGGTTGGGATCAGGGAGTGCCCTCTTGTTGTGTAGACAGTCTTTCCACAGTCTTCTCCACCCCTGCCAGCGAGGCCAGGGCTCCTGCTTCCAGTGTGGGAGGCTCAGGCCATCCATGGGGAGAAGTCAGATGTGGGTTTGGCTACTCTGGTTGACTTCTGCTAGCCAAAGGAAGTTAGAGGGTGGAGGTCTGCTTTCAGCTTGGCCAGACACACCGATACCTGGGCTAGGAGATGACAAACCAGGATGCCCATTCTAGAGTGTTCTGAGGGTGTAACAGGACCGTGAGGTACTTCGTGTGCTGGGCAGCACCGCCCGAGGAGCCTGAAGACCTTTTCCCCACCAGCCAGGAGCCCTGAAAGTGGGCCTGGAGTACAGCCCACCGGTGGAAGATAAACTGAGGCTTACAGGGTGCCCCAGTGCCGGCTGCTGCCTGGACCACAGTTTGAAAGAAAGGCTCCTCTCACACGTCTCACTATGGTTGAAGAGATGGCCCAGTGGTTAGGAGCCTGAGCTGTAAAGAATAAAGTGATAATACACGGTGATCTCTTAAAAAGTTAACACTTCGGCCAGGCAGAGGTAGCGCACGCCTTCAGTTCCAGCGCTCTGGGATTTCTGTGAGTTCAAGGCCAGCCTGGTCTACAAATGGAGTCCGGAACAGCCAAGGCTTCACAGAAAAACCGTCTCAAAAACAAAACGATACAAACCAAACCAAACAGGATCTCTCAGTGCTCTTGCAGAGGACCTGAGTGCTGTTCCCCGCAGCCAGGTCAGGCAGCACACGGCCACTTGTAAGTGCGGCTGCAAAGGATCTGAAGCCTGTAGGGGCCTCCACGGGTCCCTGCATTCATCAGTATAAACACTCTCTCACACACACAGTTAGAAATTCTCTATTTACATAACCCAACTCTTATTAATCCCAGTACACAGAAGGGTGACGCAGGAGGATTGTGAGTTTCTCGGTGTTTAATTTGCAGAATGGCTTTTTTGCTGTTGTTTTTCCAGGCAGGGTTTCTCTGTAGCCTTGGCTGGCCTGGAACTCACCCTGTAGACAAGGCTGGCCTCAAACTCAAGAGATCTCCCTCGTCTGCCTCTGAAGCGTCGGGATGAAAGGTGTGCACCACCCCTGCTGGACAGACTGCACAGCCATCCTCCGAACTACAGGTACATCTTTCTTGTTTACAAGTAAAATTACAAATGGTTTCTGGTCCTTCAAACCACAGGGATCCCAAGTATTACCAATGTTGACAGTAAAATCGAGGGAGGGTACAGGCCTTGCTGAGGAAGCAGGAGCTGCTGAAAAGGCTGGAGGTGAAAGGGTTTGGAGGGTGTGCTAGAGGAGACTGAAAGGAGACTGTTTTGTTTTCGTTTTTTTTTTTTTTTCTTTTTTTGAGATAGGGTTTCTAAAATCTGTAGACCATGTTAGCCATGAGCTCACAGAGATCCAACTGTCTCCCAAGTGCCGGGATTAAAGGTGTGGGAGAGCTAACAATAAGCCGTGACAGGGCTGGTACCCTGAGTGTCTGCAGCCTTGCTTATGAAACTTGTCTTTTGCTCTAAGCACTATTGCTCCTGCAGAGGACCAGAGTTCACTTCTCGGCACCCACGTGGTGGCTTTCAACTGTAACTGCAATGTGGGGGTTTGATGCCCTCTTCTGGCTTCTACAGGCACCTGCATTCACATTCACACACACACACACACACACACACACACACACACACACACACTCACTCACACACGAGCGCATGTACCTTCTCTCTCCTCTTCTCTCACAAAACCCTAAAACTTGTCATTTGCTTGTGAAAATCTCAGGAACACAGAAAACTTGGGGAAGGGAAAGCCAGAACATTCTGACTTCTACTCAGGACCCATCATTTCCTTTTCTGGTGTGTATTTTCCTGAGAGACAAATGTAGCCGTGTACCCACGGAGATCAGAACTGTTGCCCAGGCTAGCCTCTCATTTACCATCTTCAAAACGCCAGCAGTATAGCCACGTGTCACCACACGTGGCTTCCCCCGAAATGTATTTATCCTTTTTGTATGCTCTTGTGTGTGTGTGCTCATGAAGGACACGGTGCGCACGCACACAGTGCTGAGGACAGCCTTGGTGCCCTACCTCATCTTGAGGCAGCACCCTCCGCTCTGCGTGCACACTCCCCCCCACCTCCCTGTGCGCAGAGAGCATGCCACCCACTCACCCATCTTCCCAGCTCCTCCTTTCATCTCTATTTACATTTATTTCTTTTTGTGTGTCTCTGCAGGTCTGCGGAGAACTTCCAGTATTTGGTTCTCTTTCTGCCATGTGGGTTCTGGTGACAGAACCACCTGCTGAGCCATCCTGTCAGCCTCCATTAATTTTCAGATTTTTATTTTGCTTTTGACATGGCCTTTCTGTCTGTGTTGCCCTGGAACTATGTAGGCCAGGCTAGCCTTGAATTCAGAGATCCACCTGCATCTGCCTCCTGAGTGACGGGATTGAAAGCATTAACTTGAAATGTTTTATTGCCGTCGTGGTGTATGTGTGAGAACACAGATGGCACACACTACAGCATGCATGTGGGGGTGGAGACGACATTCACTAGTCAGTTTTCACCTCTCAGCTGACTGAAGCAGGGTCTCTCGTTTCTGCTGGATTAACTAACCGGCTGGCTTAACAGAGGGCTGATTACCCACAAGAGCCACCACACCTGGCTTTGTTAGTTTTCAAGTTTTACTTACTTGTGTGCGCATGTGCGCGTGTACGCGTGCGTGTCTAAGGGCAAAACCAGAACAGCTCCCCAGGGGCTGGAGTTACAGATGTTCTAAGCTGAAATAGGTGTTGGGAGCCAAGCTTGTGCTTTGTTTTTCAAGACAGGGTTTCTCTGTGTAGCCCTGGCTGTCCTAGAACTCACTCAAATTCAGAGATCTCACCACCAAAGTTCTGGGATTAAAGGAGTATGCCACCACCAACTGGCTTGAATTTGTACTCTCAATCCATCTTTTTTCTTTTTTTTTTTCCCTAAAGATTTATTTATTTATTATGTATACAATGTTCTGTTTCAATGTATGCCTGCACACCAGAAGAGGGCACCAGATCTCATTAGAGCTGGTTGTGAGCCACCATGTGGTTGCTGGGAATTGAACTCAGGACCTCTGGAAGAGTTGCCAGTGCTCTTAACTGCTGAGCCATCTCTCCAGCCCCCACATCTTTTTTAAAAAACATAGTTGCTAGCAGGTGATTAAGTTCCTGGTCTTTTTGTTGGTTGTATCACAGTCTGTTCAAATTACCTCTGTCCTGATATGTGTCCTCCTTTCTTGAGAAAGAACAACAGGGTAGGCATTACTTTGACTGACAGGTGAAGAAGCTGAGGCACAGAAGACTTAGGCCTCTTGGCCAAGGGTAGCTAGCTGGTGTTGACGGAGCTGTTGCCTGCAATTCCAGAGACGAACCTTTTTGCTTGGCTCTCAGGCCGACATAGAAAGAGGAAATAAAGGAAGGAATAATATAAAAGACCACTGCCATAACTCTCGTCTCAAAATATTTAATTTTGTTTGAAAAGGATACATTCCCAACTTCCCTCCCTGCCACATCACTCTGGCCCACCAGCAGGGGCACACTCGCACAGGCACACACACACATAAGGCCAATGGGCTGCTGCCTGCTTCCACCTCTGCAGCTGGGACACGGGTTTTCTCCTGGCCTCTTTCCCCCAAGAAAGGTAGGGAGAGGGTCGCCGGAATGCGGCTCCCAGGGAGGGTGCAGAGCCCCACACACTCGACCAATCACATGCACTTAGAAAAATAAAACCAAGTGGCGTTCTGGCATCCCAACATCAAAAGACAGCAATCTCTACCTGGAAATCATCTTTGCCTTTTTCTAGAAAAATTTATTGCACTTAATCAACAGATGTTAAAGAAGCTGTGGGTGGGGATGTGCCCTGGAAGCCAGGAGCCCCACGGCCCCTCTTACACGGAGCACACCTCTCAGGGCCCCTGGAGAGCTTCACATCTTCCCCCAGGCTGGAGGACTGGAGGAGCTGCCTGAGTGGAAAGCAGACCACAGCACCCTCTCACAGGGAGTGTGGACCGGGGGTCAGGTTCACTGCCTAGTGCTGTCCCCAGCCAAAGGAGCCAGACCTGCAGAGCTCAGCCTCTGGGACGAGGATGAGGTGGCTCAGGCAGGTCCTCCGCAGGGTGGTTCTCTCCAAACGTAGTTCTTTATCTAGACATCTCTTGAATGTACATTCCTGCAGCGTTCTGGCTCATTCATGCGTCTTTCTGAGGTCGCAATGAGGCTGCCACAGCTGAGGACAGCACATTTAGGAAGTGACAGCACGTCTCATCCCAAGGCAAATCAAATCCATGGAAAGCCAAACAGAAGCTGGCTTCTTGAGCCTGTCACTCTTTAGGAGAATTCAAAGATCTGCGTGCAGGAGCTTCAGGATTCAACTGTCAGCTCCTAGAAGGGCTCAAGGGACTTTCATGGCAAGACAAACAACAGAGATCAACTCTTTCTGTGCAGCCTTGGGTCCCGAGGCCAACAGAGGAGCCAAGCTTATGTGAACTCTTTTTTCCTCCAAGATGTCAACATCCAGGCATGCTCCTTCTGGTCCCTGCCGCTTTTCATTCAAAAGACTCCTCCAAGAAGGAAGCAGCCACATTGTTTCCAAGTAAGCACTTGAGGAGCCAGACCACTGCCCCTGACTTCTGGAAGGAAAGGAGGGCACCACAAGGCAGAAGGTGGGGCCAAGGGGAGACAGTAAGCCCCACCCCACCCACTGGGGTCAGAACACAGATGGCATCCAAAGATAAGTATCCATTCCTTAAAACTAAAACTTAAAAAACACAAACCTTACATTTTCTAGCCGAAGAAAACGAAGAGCTTTTTAGCTCAAGGCTTGACCACCAATCACGAAATGAGAACTGCCTCTGGGTGAACAGCCAGCCCAGAGAAAGTACCAAGTGGGTAGGAGGCAGGCAGCCCGGGCAGGACACTGGCATGCTGGGTGCAACTGCCCTTTGTGGTTACAACAGGGTGACAAAGTGTGCACACGGTTCCTACAGAACCACAAAGTCAAAGTCAGGGGCCTAGTAGGAGAGAGACCTCCCTTGGCCTCAGGGACCTTTGTCAAGTTCCCCTAAAAGTGGTATGCAGGTCCCAGGAGGGGTAGGGCATCGCCTGGCTGCAGTCCATGGCCAGTAGGCAGTTTGCCCTGGTCTTAACATCATTATGAAAAGTCTTGAAAGATTGGGGCCCCATTTAAAATAAAGCCAGTGTTAAGTATGAGAAAGCACCCTCACCACCTCTGTCTCCTTCCGTAGGCTGCCAGCCCTGAGCAAATAAACACACCCTCCTGGAAGATGCCCTAACTGACCCACGTGAGCAGAGGGTTCCACAATTTCTCTGTCAATCCTCTGGGCAGAGCAAGAGGACAAGTTTAGCCAAACAGAAGAGAAAGGTGCAGCTGTGACGCAGAGGGAGCCAAAGCTGCAGGAACCACTCCAGCCCTGGTCAGACCTATGTGAGCAGCCCTTGACTCCCGAGGGACCACAGGCCGGTGTAAGTGTCTCCAGCGCCTGCCGTCCCATGAGAACTGTACTGTGACTTCGGCAAGTACAGCTCCTAGGAGGCGCCCTGCTGACACTCATGGGAGGGGTTCTAATCTGCAAAGTGAGAGGCCCTCTTCTGCCTTCAGAGAGACTGGATTCTGGCCTGGGGTACACTGGTAAGCCACAGTAAAGAACCCATGGAGCTTCCCAAGAGACAAGCCTCACTCTGCCCACAACAGGAGGCTATAGAGGTCAGTTCCCTGAACACCATGCAGAAGTGCTATACTGGGGCCAGGAGGGTCAAGAGTCCTAGGTGATGGGGTTCCTTTTTAAACATAAGATCTGAGAAAGGTTACTGGGTGAAAATAACCACAGGTTAGCCTAGTGGAGATCAGGAGCCTCTAGAATGGCCTGGAGATACAAAGGCCTCCCTAGGTGCTGGCAATTAAGAGCCAGAGACAGCCATCCTGAAATTTTTCTTCCATACCAAGTGGGATGTACAGGGAGCTGATCTCAGGGCTGCTTCGGGCCTGAGAGCCACAAGACAAAAGGGATGTAGGAGCTAAGAATGGCTGGATGCACTTCTATGGCAAGCCCCAAACCCCACCCCAATTCCAGGCTATGCAGAGATCCCACTCCTATGTCCACCACCTGCATACACCAACAGGAGTATTAACGTGTCCAGGCTCCGAGACAGATGGGAATGAATGTTTCTCTTAAAGATTTTTCTGGGGAGGGTGAGGTGCATGACGGACACACCCCAAGTGGAAATGCACCTGCTACCTGAGACGACATTAGGATGACAATAATCATGACTCATTCTGTAGACAGCCCTTGTCAGTCCAGACTAGAGACTGAGGGAAGGCTAGGAAAGCCTGAGCACTCTGTAAAAGAGAAACCTGGACTCCGGAGGTCCCCTTCTGATTCAGCTTGTACATCCAAGAAGAGAAACTTGGGCCGTTTACCCGTCTACGTAGATTTGCTCGTGTCCCCCATCAGAGGACCCTGGTCCCCTGGGGAAGTCCCCACGTGTGCTGGCCATGTTATAATGAAGCTGAGACGTGAGTGCTCCTAGAGCAGGTACGCCACCATGTGCCCATGAAGAGTCCTAAGTCTCCACACGAGTGTGGGGTCCAGGAAGCCCCAGGCAGAGGTCTGAGGTACAGGCAGTGCCCTGCGGGGCAAGGGGCACAGGTTACAAGGGCCCGTACTTGGTCTCATACTTGGACACGATGGTCTTGCACTTGCCCACCTCCTTGCGAAGCTCAGCGACCTCCGTCCGCAGGGCTGTGTTCTCCTTCTCCAGGAAGGCTGCCCGGATAGTGATCTGGTTCTCCTTCAGGCGCCTGGCATCCCGAGAGCGCTTGGCTGCCACGTTGTTCTTCTTACGCCTTGTCCAATATTTTTCGTCCTATGGGAAAGGGCCCTCTGTGGGTGTCTGGTGGTTTCCAAGGGAACTCAATCTCTCCTTCCCACCCCCAATCCTATCCTCTGACACACACAGTTCAGTGCTGTGGTAAGAACTAGAGTCTGCACCCTACAGCAGGAACACTGTGGGACACTACCTGTCTTCAGAGGGGCAGGCTGTATGGAGGAGGCAAGAGCCTACCCTATCAGACAGCGTCCTTGCCTCATTTAGACATAATGGTGGTTGTTAACATCTCTTTCTCTCTTTTGAAACAGGTTCTTTTTCTCTCTCTCCTTCTAAGACAGATTTTCTCTGTGTAGCCCTGGCTGTCCTAGAACTCACTCGGTAGACCAGACTGGTCTCGAACTCAGAGATTCACCTGCCTCTGCCTCCCAATTGCTGAGATTAAAGATGTGTGCCACCACACCATGATTAGTGTTGGTTAAAAGCCAACGACCTAGATACAGTTTAGTTCCCTGAAGTGAAACCTAACCTTACAAGGCCATGCAGGGGGTGGGGGAGAAAGAGGAGAGGGAGAGGAGGTGTGTGTGCCGTCATCAGACGGTAACTCTAGGTGTTGGCCCTAGGTGTCCATCTTGTTTGAGACTGGCTCCCTTTGTTGTTCACTGTTGTGTTTGACAGGATAGGTGGCCCAGAATTCCCAGCAATTCTCTTCCCACTGCCTCCCTGTTCTTATCGTCTGATAAGAACACTGTTACAGCCTTTCACATGGCTTCTTAGGATTTGAACTCAGGGCCTCATGCAAATGCTTTACCCACAGAGCCAGTATTTCTCAACCTGTGGATCATGACCCCCTCTTTGAGAAACAAATGACCATTTCACAGAGGCCTTCTAAGACCATCTGAAAACAGGATATTTACATTATGATTCATCCGGGCACAGTGATGCACACCCGTAATCCCAGCACTCACAGGGGCAGAGGCGGGCAGATCTCTGTGAGTTTGAGGCCAGTGTGGTCTACAAAGTGAGTCTAGGACAGCTAAGGCTACATAGAAAAACCCTGTCTCAAAAAACCAAACACCCTAAAAAAACAAAAAAGAATCTTATAGTTGGGGTCACCACAACATGAGTATTAAAGGGTCACAGCATTAGGAAGGTTGAGAACTGCTGCCCTATGCCTTCTCCCCAGCCTACGAGGTATCTTTTGTCCTTAAGATTGTTCAACCTAAGTTTCTATGGTCTAGTGACTTTTTTTTTTTTAAGATTTATTTATTTATACAATATGCTGCCTGCACGCCAGAAGAGAGCATCAGATCTCACTATAGATGATTGTGAGCCACCACGTGATTGTTGGGAATTAAACTCGGGACCTTTGGAAGAATAGCCAGTGCTCTTAACCTCTGAGTTATCTTTCCAGCCCATCTAGACTTCTTTTCCCGATGGCTGCACTAACACAGGGAGATGGAACGGTAGAACGCCCAGAAGCCCTGGGAAGAAGGGAACTGTTGGAGTGATCGGGGCCAAGCCACACCCGACCATTTCTTCCCATCAAATTGCTGCTGCTGTGGCTCCACATACAGAACTCCTGACTTTTGTTCATTACTTTGTTTTGTTTTTGTGTGTTTTTTTTTTTTCTTTCTTTGAGACAGGGTTTCTCTGTGTAGCCTTGGCTGTCTGAAACTCCTTCTGTAGATCATGCTGGCCTCCAACTCACAGAGATCTACCTGCCTCAGTCTCCCAAGTGCTGGGATAAAAGGTGTGTGCCACCACCGCTGGGCTCAGAACTCCTGTCTTTCTAAGTGGTAGTAGGGAGGATTCTCCATATAAAAATCACATATGAGAAAGCACAGTCCCTACACTGGTTTTATTTCCATCTCTTTCTATTTGGTTTTATGAGACAGTTTCTGTGTAGCCCTAGAACTCACTCTGTAGACTAAGCTGTCCTGAAATTCAGAGGTCTGCCTGCATCTGCATCCCAAGTCTGGGATTAAAGGTGTGTAATGCATGCTCAGCTTCTTTCTCTTTGAAATGCTAGACATGGAGCTCTGGGCCTCATGTGTACATGGCAAGCACTGCACCACTGAGCTATGCCATAGCTGCCCTAGACTCTCATACCACTGCTGTGCCTCTAATAAAGGACACTGGGTGTTACCTTCTGCTCATCAGGGACAAAGACTTTCTTGGCTTTTTTGATCATGGGCTGGGGCTTCAGGTCTTCCTCTGCAAACTTGTGCTTCCGAGGGTTGAAAAGCTCCCCACCTGGCACACTAGAGAGGACCAGGTCAGCAGGGTCAGGATTGAAGTTCACGTCGACCTCCACACAGTTGGGGTCGATGGGACTTGGAGTTTCTCTCTCCTTTTCCAAGGATGATTCTGAAAGACAGAGGCAGAAGATCTAGAAGCACCTCACCGGACAGAGAAAATACATGTCACCCTACCACACAACTTGGAGGCAGTACAGACCACTGCCACTTGGAAGAAAACCACATCACCAGCCCTAAAGGCAAGCAGGCACTCGTGGTTCATCCCTAAGATGACTCTGCCCTTTCTTGTGTGCTACGGATCAAACCCAGGGCTCCACACATGCTAAGCATGTGCTCAACCACTGAATCACCTCCAGCCCGCGAATTTTTCTGTTTAGGAACAGAACATGCCAAAGGAAACAGAGGCCTTCAAAATGGTAAGTAAAACACTAAATCATTATATGCCTCGACTTCCTGTGTCTCAGGTTCTCTGAAAACCAGCTGAGTCTCTCCATGATGACAATGGTGAGGACAGCACTGGCTCACATCGAGCCCCAAATCAGTCGCTGTGCTCATTCCTTCAGTCTCATACTCTGGAAGGAGATGAGTGTTAACTCCTACTTTACAGAAAAGGATTCCAAGGTTCAGATAAATGTAATGGGCTTTCCAGAACCCCGAAGGTAAATAACTGAACTGAACTGTGAGTCTTGGTCTGGCAGACTCTGACCCTTGTTCTTCCTGCTCCATATGGAGGGCTGCTTTGTAGTAAACATTGCATTAATGTCAATTTTGGAGTTCAAAGGTTGTATGTTGAGATAAGATTTGTGTTAAAACAAAACCAAACCTCTGGCCTACACATTCAATGCTACCAATAGGAGTACACCAGATATTCAGCCAATAGATAGTTACTCAATACAAACTATATCCCTGGTACTGCCCTGGAAGACCAGGGCAGAGTAATTAAAACCATGATTCTTAACAGGAGACGATTTTGCCCAGCAGGAAATGTCTGGCTACAACAGGACTCCAGGATACAACTAGCATAATATGTGTAGAAGCCTAAAGGCTGCTACGTACCTTGTAATATAAAAGAGGTCAAAATTAAAATCAAAGATATCCACCCCACCCACCAACTATCTGCCCTAAATGTCAATGGTGCTGATATAGGCTTTTCTCTTGAAATGAGAAGTCACTGGAATGCTCATGGCCCAGTGTAGCATGATCAAATTTAGGCTTTTAACTGGATCAGGTTGAGTATGGTGGTACAGGCTACAGGAGACCCTGCGTCATCTTCTTTCCTCCCCCAAAAACGTGTGTATATGTGGTATACATGTCTGTGAATTCTGGAGCTCAGTGTCTTAAGAATACCCACTACTCTTGCAGAGGAGCTGGGTTCAGTTTCTATCATCCACCTGGCAGCTCACAGTTGCCCGTGACTCAAGTTCCAGGGATCCAACACCCTCCTCTGGCCTCTGAGGGCATGTTATACACATGTGACACATACACAGGCAAACACTCATCCACATAATAAAATCAAGTAAATAATGCTGACATGGTGGCTCACAACCACTAATCCCAGCACCAGAGAGGCAGAGGCAGGTGGATCTCTGTGAGTCTGAGGCCAGCCTGGTCTACACAGTGAATTCCAGGGCAGCCAGGGTTACATAGAAAATCCAGTCTCGGAAGCCAGGTGTGGTGGCACTCGACTGTAATCCCAGCACTGTGGGAGGCAGAGGTAGGTGGATCTCTGCGTTCGAGGGCAGCCTGGTCTACAAAGGGAGTCCAGGACAGCCAAGGCTTTACAGAGAAACCCTGTTTTGAAAAACAAAAACAAAAACAAAAGAAAAGGATTCGTGTCTAACAGTCTATTTCTAAGTAAGTGCCCAAGACAAATCCAAGTATCGACCAGGAGACAGGCACATGAACGTTCACAGCAGCATTGTTCAGAACCAAGCAGGTCTTACTATGTAGCCCAGGCTATCCTGGAACTTACTATGTAGACCAGACTACACAGTGAGCTCCACTGTCCTTCGGCTGCAGAATGGCTACCCTCTGTGTGCTCACCGATGGAAACAAACCTTCCCCACAGTGACAAGATGACATACAGGTCAGACACAAAAGCACACACACTACTGATGCCTTCTCTACAAAATGACTGAAAAACCAAAGGAGTCGACTTTCATATCTACCTTTCATTGCAATCCTCCTGCCTTAGGTTCTTGAGTACTGGGACTACAGGTACAGATCAACATACCCAGCTTCCGTTCAGTATGTTCTGTGAAACGACTTCGGTTTTTGAGACAGGGTCTCACTATTATGCAGCTCTGGTGTCCTAGAACTTGCTCTGTATACCAGGAGCCTCAAACTTTTGCCTCTGAAGTGCTGGAATTAAAGCTATGTGCCACTATGTCAGCATGTTTTGTTAACATAAAAATATCCACACAATCTATTGTGTTATGGAATTCTATAAAGTTAAACATGTAAGAGTAGTAATGCAATGAACTTAAGAGTTATTATTACTGTGTGAGTAAGTATGGTACTGGGAATTAAACCTGGGCCTCCCACCTGCAAGTGAAACACTTGCCTACTGCATTGTGTCCTCTGCTCAGCTCTTTTTGCACATTTGTGTGTGTGTGTGTGTGTGTGTGTGTGTGTGTGTGTGTGTGTGTGCAAGTGCCTGTGTGCACACATGCCACTGAAAAGAATGGAGGTCAGAGGACACTTTGTGGAAGTCAGTTCCCTCCTACAAGGTCTTCAGGCTTGATGGCAAGCGCCCTTATTGGTGAGCCACTTTGCCAACTCTGTCAATTTTTTATTCTTATTTATTTTGTTAAAGATTTATTTATTATGTATACAGTGTTCCTCCTGCATGTACACCTGCGCAATGGATCTCATTATAGATGGTTGTGAGCCACCATGTGGTTTCTGGGAATTGAACTCAGGACCTCTGGAAGCGCAGCCAGTGCTCTTAACCTCTGAGCCATCTCTCCAGCCCCTTTATTAGTTTGTTTATTTTTTGAGAGCAGTTCTCTCTATCATATAACTCTGTGTGGCTCTCCTGGAAGAAACTATGTAGCCCAGGCTGGCCTAGAACTCATTTTATAAACCAGACTGGATTCAAAGTTGTGGTAATTCTCTCTCTCTGCTTCCTGACTGTTGGGAGCCCACATATGATATTTAAAAATAAAACAGAGGACAATTCTATTGATAAGAAGCTCAGCTACTAGCAAATGTAACCTCTGGTGAGAGAATCAAATGGGGCACCTTTGAGAAGCCAACCGCCCATGGTCATATGCATTTCATGGGTGCTCACACAGCTCCCTCTCGGAATCCGGGCAGCAGCGAAGCGGGAGGGCTCACCTCCTGAGGGTGCGCCAGGCTGTGCACACGCACACACATGCTACTCTGAGGCTGGTGTGGCGCCACACGCCTTTACTCCCAGATCTCAGGTGGCAGGGGCAGGCAGATCTGTGATTCACTGTCAATTCCACATGTAAATTATTTAAAAAATTTTAATATGTGATTTACATGTGTGGACATATGTATATATGTGTGCATGTACATGTCAAAGCCAGAGGTTAACTTAATTCCTTTTATTTATTTGTTCACCTGTGCCTCTATGTGCCTATCACACAGCATGAGCAGAGGTCAGAGGACGATGTACAGAGTTGGCTCTCTCCTACTTCCACATGGGTCCTGGGGTTCATTTGTTCTGTTTCCACACATATAGTGCTCCCAAGTTTGATTCCCAGCACCCCACTGGACTTCATGGAAAATCCGTTTTCCTGCCCAGCCACCTTGCCAGTTCACTCTTCCTGGAGGACACCGGCTTGCCCGGCAGGCTGGTGGACTGCCAGTATCGGACCCAGCACTGCACGCCCTCATGTGCTAGGGGGCTGCACTGTCCCCAGGATCGGTTTACTGACTTACTGACTAAGCCATCTGCCTGTTTTTTCTTTTTTAGGTTTATTTACTTTATGTGTGTGAATGTTTTACTCGCATGCACATATGTTTGCCATGTGCATGACAGTTGGCTCCCTTGGTGTTATGAACGATTGTGAGCTATGATGTGGGTATTGGAAACCAAACTCAGGTCCTCTGCATGAACACTCCATGATCTTAGTGGCTGAGCTATCTCTTCAACCCATTTTCTGTCTTAATTTTTATTTAATTAATTAAAACTTACTTTGCAGTGCTAAGAAACCCAACCAAGGCTTTTAAAAAACACTTACTTGCATGCATGTTTGTCTGTATACCACATGTATACCTGGTACCCATAGAGGCCCAAATCCCCTGGGACTGGAGTTACAGGTGGCTGTGAACCACTATGTGGGTGCTGGGAATCAAACCTGCGTCCTCTGGAAGAGCAACTAACACTCCTAATTGCTGAGCCGTCTCTCCAATCTGAAACCCAAGGTTTTCTGCATGCTAAACAAGCACTCTACCACAGAGCTACATCTCTGGCTTCTCTTTTTCTTTTTGGTTTTTCAAAACAGGGTTTCTTTGTGTTGCCTCAGCTACCCCGGGCTCGATTTGTAGAACAGGCTGGTCTCAAACTCACAGCAATCCGCCTGCCTCTGCCTCCCAGAGTGCTGGGACTCCATGCCCAGCTTCTTTTTTCATTTTTTGAGACGGGGCCTCACTATGTTATCTAGACTAGCTTTAAACTTGTGATCCTCCTGCCCAGTCTTCTGCATAACAAGGTCTACCAGCATATAACACTGTATCTGCTTTTTTTTTTTAAGATTTATTTATTTATTACATATACAATGTTCTTTCTGCATGTGGGCCTGCATGCCAGAAGAGGGCACCAGATCTCATTATAGATGGCTGTGAGCCTCCATGTGGTTGTTGGGGATCGAACTCAGGATCTCTGGAAGAGCAGACAGTGCTCTTAACCTCTGAGCCATCTCTCCAGCCCTCGGTTTTATTTATTATTTGTTTGTTTGTTTATTTAAAGTTGGGGCTGCAGAGATAAGTGGCTAAGACCATGTGCTGCAAGCTGGAGATAGTTCAGAGATTAAGAGCACGGGCTGCTCTCCCAGACATCTTGAGTTCAATTCCCAGCACCCACATGATGGCTCACAGCCCTGTGATCTGATACTCTCTACTGTCATAGGCATACATGCAAATAGAACATGTCATGTGTAAATATGAAAATCTTAAAAGGAAACACAGCGCGAGAGCTTCATTGTGTGGGTCCCAGGAGACAACTGCCATCGTGTCTGAGGCTACAGAAACTTTACATGGCTTCTGAGGACACGGCTTCTCCGGTGGGTTCAAGTTCAGATATGAAAACAAACATACCCAAACACCAACTCCCAAGCCAAAACAGTAAACGATGTCTTTACATGCTGAAGAATTTTTTTAGAGCAGTGGGAATGTCATTTGTGCTAGTGCCTAAGAGTCCATGCCTATGCAGACAAGTATATGGGTTCAAATGCTACTTTAGCACCTACCAGCTGGTGGCTTGGGCAAGTTTCTTTCTTTCTCTGTGCCTCAGTTTCCCATCTACAAAATAGGGATAACAGTACAACTAATCCTGGAAGACTGTTCTGATGACTTTTTGTTAAAGCCTAGGATAGAATAAATCCTAGGTAAGTCTTAGCACTTACAGTCAGAATGGCAGGGACAGTGGTGTTTAATACTATTGCCTAAACTTCCCAAGAATCTGTGGCTAAAATACTCATGATATAAAAGAACAGCATCAAATTTGGAGTGGAATCAGCTCTTCTGCAGAGCTGCAGCCTGGGAGCTCATTCCACCATCCTGAGCATGTGCGGTGCCCCAAGAGAGGAAGACCAACTGCTGCTGGTGTAACTGCTGTTTTATCCCCAGCCTCATAAAGCAGAACTCAGTGGGGAGTGGGGCCCCTAGATGAGACAGGGGGGCCTGGCCAAAGGCTGTCACCAACCTGTGCTGGACACGGTTTCCGAGGGCTGAAAGACAGCAGTAGAGGAGGATGGTGGAGATGCTGTGGAAGAGCTGGCAGACTCCTTCCCTTCAAGCTCTGCCACAGGCAGCAGCAGGTTCTGGGCCAGGTGGGTGGGGCTGGCAGGGATGCCATTCTCCAGCAGGAACTCATCCAGGTCCATGTACTCTAGGTGGAAAGACTCGCCATCATAGGGGATGGTCTTGTCCCAGATGGGCGGCATAAGGGAGGCAGACACGGCCATGGTGCTGGCTGCTGCAGACTCGTCTTCCTCCAGCTTTTCCTTCCCCTTTTCCTTATCTGCAAACAAAATCTATGATGAGACATCACGCAAGGGAGTAACACATCCAGGAGGTGGGCAGTGAGCCTTAGAGAAGACCCATCTTTCACAGAGGCCTATTTCCATTGACACCCCATATACACATTTCAAGAGCATGTCCTGTCTTCCCATTGTGACCTGGTGCTTGAGCCAGGTGGGCTGGTCTCTTTTGAGGGCAACAACACATTCTCTTCTGTGTCTGGCCTTTCTGGAATGCTAGCTGCATGCTCAAGAGGCTTGTGGTAGTCCCAGAGTTAATGTAGACTAGGCTGCTGGCAGGCGTCTACCGGAGAGGCTATGAGGAAGGAAGTGGTGTTTCTGACCTTTCCTGATATCTTAGTATGGATAAGGCTGAGGTTCTCTAGCCAATATTGGGTTCCCCTGTTCTGTTCCCTCCAGTTATGTTTCTCCATACCAACCCAGGGCTGCTACCCACTAGCTGTGGGACATGTGACCTAATCCATGTCACTTAACCCGAGCCCTGGTGTGTTTCACTGTCACAAGCCACTTTTGTGAAGAACAGACATATGACATATAAAAATGACTACTGCTGAATATATGGTACACAGTACACAGTCTCTACCGCTGTGAGCTCACTGAGGGCAGGGACTGAGTCAGATTCAGCTCTAGATTTCAGGGACCAACAAAGAGGCTAAGCAGTGGCTATGGGAACCTTTACAGTGCCTGGAGAGTGCAGGATTTTCAGACAGATTGGCTTTGGGTGTATTGCAATGAGATGACCTGGAGCTCTTTTCAGAGAAATGTTCATGAGGGAGACAACCTTGAACTCTGGATTTAGAAGTGAAAAAAATTTTGCATGCTTTTCTTGCCCCCACCCCCTATGGCCTGCCTCTAGATGTACCTCTTTTTTTTTTTTTTTTTTTCCCAAGTCAGGGTGTCTCTGTGTAACCTTGGCTGTTCTGGACTTGTAAACCAGGCTGACCTCAAACTCACAGAGAGTTATCTGCCTCTGCCTCCCAAACACTGGGATTAGAGGTGTACACCACAACACTGGGCAAGAAATCGAATGTGTTGGGAAAAAAAAAAAGGCTTGGGCCCAAGACCAACCAAAGGGCAGCCTATTAGTCCAAAAAAAAAAAAAGACCAGACCCAGCGAGGTGGAGGTTCTCATGAACACATCTTGCTCATAGCTTCTAATATGATTTAACTTGCATTCCTACGACTGCCTTTTAATTAATTAATTAATTTTTTTTTAGACCAGGCTTTGATTTAAAAGCAACTGGGAAACAACAACAATCCCAGGCTGTGGGCTGGGTGGGCCAGATGGCTTCCCTGCTCATCTCTCTGACTTCACATTCTGTTCAGAAATGACTGGCCCAGTCAGGTGGGGGTCACTTGGGATCAAAAGAGGTAAGAAAAAGGAGGAGATAAAAAAGCAACCTTGGGCTGGAGAGATGGTGCAGAGGTTAAGAGCACTGGCTGCTCTTCCAGAGGACCTGGGTTCAATTCCCAGCACCCATGTGGCAGCTCATAGCTGTCTTTAATTCCAATTCCAGAGAAAAGAAAACCCACATACATACATGCAGGCAAAACATAAAAATAAATGTGTTAGTAAAGCATTATTAAAAAAAAAAAAGCAGCCTGGTGGGCGGTGATGCACTCCTTTAATCTCAGCACTCAGAAAGGTAGAGGCAGGCAGACTGATGTGAGTTTGAAGCCAGCCTGGTCTACAAATAGCCAAGACTACACAGAGAAATGGTGTCTTGAAAAAAAAAAAAAAACAAACAAACAAAAAGCCTCCTTACAGGACAAGCAACAGTAAGTTTCACATTTTGCTTGCCCGAAGCAATTAAAACTATCTTTTCTAGTTTTCTGGGATAGGGTCTTATGAAGCTCAAGGTGACTTGAAATTTGATGTGCATCTGAGGATGACCTTGAACTAGGGATCCCCCCTGCTGCTACCTCTCCAGGGCTGGGCTTACAAGCAGGCACCACTACAATCAATCAGGCTAATTTAGTTTAGTGTTTGTAATGTTAAGTTTTAAATTAATTTCAAAAGGTACATGACTGACATGTCCAGCACTTAAGTCACAGGGACCGACATCAGTGATTGTCAGTTTGACAGGACAGAGAGACACCAAACCAAGAGCCAGAGGCCCACCCATGTGACCTTGAGAAAGCATCTACACCTCTCCAAAGTCTCAACTTTCCTCACCTGCAAGGTGGAGATAGTACCGCAAACAAGATAAGACTGTCAGAATGCCTTGTGAGCATGTGCAAATATAAGGCAAAAAGAGTCACCATATGGATGGACTGCTATTCTCTGGTAAGCCTAAGCAAGAGCTGCCAGATGTGAGCACCAGCATCATCTGGGGCGAAGCTTCATCTTCAAACAAAGGGTTTGTGCACATGAGGTCCTGAGGCAGGAGGAGAGAACCTAGCCTCACCTGAGTGGAAGCTATTTATAACCCCACAGTGACAACCGTTAAGCACAGCAGCCCCGGAACACACCCAGGAGAAGAGGAGAAATGGCATTTTAGAAAGGGAGGTGAGTTCCCCAGTACAGGCAATCCGCAAAAAGCCTATTCCTTCCCAAACACCCTAATTACACTGAGCTCTTGAAAATCCGACGGTCTCAGGCTGAAAGCACACCTCAATGAACCCAAACCCCCACAATAGGTGGCAGTCCTGCTGCTCTTCCAGGCCAAATACCCAGGCCGAGCCTCCTTTCCATACTAGGCCCTGGGGACCCTTGTGGCCTGAGCAATACCTGCTATTGTGGTTCCAAACAGGTGCAGGGCCTCAGTGGCCGCATTCTAAGCCTCATCACAACCCTACTTCACCCATCCTTCATCCCCTCAAAGAAGCTACCGAACCTCATTTCAAACCGCCTCCTCCACCTGCACCTCAGCAGTCACCCCAGGACACATTTCCAGTAAAGCACCGCGGTGGACCTGCTCAACGTCCACTCCCAGGGAGGAAGAAGCGTCCTTCTCCAGGATGGGCCAAAGATGCAAAGGCCATCTGCTACAGCGATAAGGGCTTCTCAAACTTTGGTGGTGAACTCTGCACCCCCGGGGGTGCGGTGGAGTGCTCCTGGGATCCGCAGACTGGGCGAGGCCCAGGCTCCCGCATTTGAGGCCAGCAGCATCCTAGGGCTCTGGATGCAGGCAGCCTCGCGGGAGCCCCATCTAAGCGCCTGCTTCCTTGCAAAGTTCCATCGACCCGTCCTTTCCAGGTCGCCCCCTGACTTTCTCTCTCCGCCAGAGGCCTAGTCCGGCAGGCCCCTCGTCATCTCCGCTCCTGCATAAGCACCCCCCCATCCGCTGGACCGCTTCACCCTGACCTCTGACCGGACCCGCCCCGCCCCCACAAGGCCCCGCCCTTACAGAAACCCCGCCCCCAGATACGCGCGAGCCGGCCCCCCCCCCCTCACCGAGGCGCGTCTCGCGCGGGGGGTTCTCCATCAGCTTCTTCAGGACCAGAGGGAAGGAGCCCGACAGGCCCCGTTCCCCAGCAGCACGGCCCGGGCCCGGCCCCGCCTGAGGCTCCACAGGCGGCTTCTTCCCGCCGCCCGCGTCGGACATCGTGCCCCGCGCCCGACTCGTGCGCCTCGCCTCCCCCGCCCGCACCCCGAGATGGGCCGGAGCGGCTCGACCCGCCGCAGCCGCTGACAGGGGCAGCACTGCGCAGACGCGCTGCCTCACCCCCGCCTCCCTCCGTCCGCACCCCGCCCGCGGCCGCGTTCCGTCTCATTCATTATTCATGAGGCCAGGCTGGCGGTCCCGGAGCGTGGCTCCCGATTGGTGCGTTCCACGTGGGGGCGGGCCCAGCTCCTCGAGCCGGGATTGGCTGCGGAGGCCAAAAGAGCGAGACACGTGCAGAGCCAGGTGAGGAGCTCCGCCTCGCCCGCCCGGGAGCATCGTGGCCTTGCGCGGGGCAGCCCGCTTTGTTCTGGTCAGTCGTGTCTTCCCCCGCCACCACCTTCGTGGTGGACTGGCCAGTCCACCGCGGCCTCCTCTGCCTCCTTCCCTCAGAGAAGCCACCCCAGAGGAAGGCGGAGCCGGGCGTCGCGGCCCAACCCCGGGGGTCACGTGGAGCGGCAGCCGAGGGGAACCGCGAGGGGCGGGACAGCGAGGGAAGGACGCGCGGCAGCCAATGAGAGAAGAGGGCGGGGCCGGCGCGCTTGCACGAGGCCCTGCACGTGCGGCTGCGGAGGGGAGGGGCGAGGAGGGGCGGGGCCTGGCCTGAGCCTGGCCTGGCCTGGCCTGTTCTGTTCTGTTGTTGAGCGGACTTTGCCCGGGGTCCGCCGCGGACTGGGACGGGCGCCCACGGAGCCCGGCCAGCGCTCCTCCCACGCTACCCCTGAGGTTAACGGAGGGCAGGCGGCCTCCAGGCTCGGCCGCTCGAGCGGGTGTCAAGTTGCCCACTGATCTGGGGATTGGGGGCTGGCGTGGCTGCGGGATAAACACTAGCATAGAGAGCGCGTTCTTGAGACCGATCGGCGAACCCGGGTCGGGACATACTTCCCGTACTACTAGCTGCTCAAGCTTGTGACCTTGGGAATATCCAGTTGCTCCATTGGAGCCCATTTCCTCAGTCTCAAAATTCAACATTCCACAGTCCCGGACGCCTCCCAATTCTCTTTCTTTTACAGGATTTCCCTTTTTTAAAAGCTAAAAAAACAAAACAGAAACTACTAATCTTGCATTTTGTGGGAGACCCATCTCTTAAAAAAAAATAAAAATCTATGCTTCCTGGGTTCCCTAGGATACCTGTGAGCCCTTGATAGGGTGCACAGACCTTCAAGACAGGACTTTGTATCTCTTTGCAGAACAAGTCATACTCGGCTTCAAGCCCAGACAATACTAGACGCTCTGGGATTAAGCTCCCAGAGGGGCAGGGACTTGGCTTGTTTGTGCTCTGTCCCTCCCATGGCTCCCTGCCTCCGGAGGAGGAGCTAGAGTTTGGCAGAATGGCTGCCTGTGGTTCATGTATTAGGCGCAGGACACCGCAGCAGCTGAAAGCGCATGGAATGAGAACGTTGCTTCGACTTGAGGAAAAAGAAATAGAGTAGCTGAGTAGGTCTAAGGGAAGAGACTGAGGACTTTGCATAGTCATAGGGACAGGATGATGGACTGCGGATCCAAAATTCAAGTTTCTGTGATGTTGATCACTTTCCGAGAATCTGATGTCTCCAACCCATTGTTACATTTCTCTGTGCTGTTCTTCCTATGTCAAATGGGGACAGTGCAGGATTTAGCCTACGGTGTTCCCATGCAAATGCTTTTCCTAATTTAATCAAAACTGATGGATATAAATCCAGCGTGGAAAAGGAAACTGTGCACAGAAAACACATGTGCTGCAGAATTATTAGGAATTCTGAGTATGTCTAGGGTATCTAGGAGAAATTGACCTAGAGGTTTTTAGAAACAAATTTAACAGCAACTCCAAGAAAATGAAGCAACATATGAAACTCTAGAAAAGAAAAGCTGGGTGAGTAAGATGGCTCGTGGGGTAAAGATGACTACTGCCAAGTGTGACAACCAGAGTTCAATCCCTGGGTACCATATGATGGCAAGAGGGACTAACAAACGTTGCCTCCAGACCTCAATGAGCACAATTCTTCTGTACATACACTAAAATGTAACATAATATTTTTAAAAGAAATACAAATCTCCAGCTAGTTTGGTTATGTAGGAACTTGCTAGACTAGACTCAAATGGGTATTTTCATAGGCAAATTTTACATTCTTGAGAAGGGAAAACAGTTCCTAACGTGGTAGAGGAGGGTTAATATGGTGAGAGTGGCAAGTCATCTATCTGTAACAGCGATGGCATGTAGGGAGATTTCCGCTCCTGCTCTCATTCTCTCTCCCTCCCCCACTCTTTGGAGCTAATGGGTACCCTCAGATGGATGGATGGATCAGCCCACCTAGAGCAGTTCACCTGTTAGGCAAGCAGCTGGAATGCAGGAAGATAACAGTCTGAGGCTTCAAAAAACTGATGTAGCTTTGATGCTCTTCTCTACTGACACTTGAGGGAGGAGTTTCCCGTGGGTAACCAAAAGGTGGATATTCAGTATCCGAAAGGACCATTGCAGGCATGTTCCCTCTGGTGCTTCCCTGAAAGCTGTGGGGGATTGCAGCAATCAGCACTGTCCTGAAAGCAGGGACATTGCTTTCTCTTCCCTCTCCAGCTGACCTCAGAAGAACCCCAGCTGCCTTTCTCTACTGCTGTCTCTTGTCATTGCTATGGTGATGGCCGTGACCTTGTCTCTTCTCACAGTAGAGGAGTGTTATGAGAAGCAATTTGCTAATTGCCATAGTGTGTGAACCCTATAAAGAAATAGACTCCTGCCAGGTGCTCTGGCCACACCTGTGATCCCAGCACAGGAGGATCTCTGTGAGTTCAAGCCCAGCCTGGTCTACAAAAGCGAGTCCAGGACAGCCAAGGCTACACAGAGAAACCCTACCTGAGGAAGAAAAAAAAAAGACTCCCTAAGAGAACATGTTAGTACCTGGTTAAACTTTAAAAATATGTGGCAGCTGGGCGTGGTGGCACACACCTTTGATCCCAGCACTTGGGAAACAGAGGCAAGTGGATCTCTGTGAGTTCCAGGCCAGCATGGTCTACAGAGTGAGTTCCAGGCCAGCCAGGGCTACATAGTAAGACCCCATCTTTAAAAGAAAGAAAAGGAAAAGTGTGCTATGGTATCACATTATTCTGTATCAATAGATTCTTGAATTTGTGTTTGTTTGAGATAGGTTCTCAGGTATGCTAGGCTGGCTTCAAAATGATACATAGATGATGAGGTATGGTCCTCCTGCCACCAACTCCTGTGTCTTCCTGCTGCTACCTCCTGCGTGCTGGGATTATAGGCATGCACCGCCACCACCAATTTATGGAGTCCAGAAGGTCAAACCCAGGTTTTGTGCATGCTAGGCAGACACTCTACTAACTGAGCTACATTCCTAGTCTCTAATGATAGTTTTTTAAATTAATCATTTAGTGCATGTGTGTGTGTGTGCCAGAGGCTAGAGGACAACTTTTAGGGATGGGTTCTCCTTTTACCATGGAATAAAACTTAGACTGTCAAGCCTTGTGGCAAGTGCTTTGTCCCACTGAGCCATCTTATAGGTGTTTTGTTGTTGTGTTTTTAATGGGGGTGGATTTGAGACAGAACCTCACTGTGTAGCTCTGCCCTGGCCTGGAATCCACTATTTGTAGACCAGGTTATCCTCAGACTCACAGAGATCCACCGTGCCTGGCCAATGACAGGTTCTCAGTGCAAGGCCTACCTCAGAGCATCTGCAGAGCTGTGACTTCAGGCTTGAGAGCAGACCTGAGGAGACTCTCCTCTGAGCCATGACCTGCTTATAGCACTGTGCAAATGGCTTCTAAGCCTCAGTCATTTTCCTCTGGGAAGCAGATGGAGAATGCTGCCAGTTAGGGGGTTGTGAAGATTAGCTGTGATAAGCACTGGCAGGTACCCGTCTACAAGAGTAATATGTGAGATGGATGGGTGGGCATCCACCAGCCCTTCCCTTCCACTCAGGATGTGTTGGCTTAGGAGTTGTTCTACTAGGAGATAAGGATAGGTTGTAGAGTCTAAACCAGAGCCAGGCTGAGAAGTGTTATTTGCCAGAACAGGAAGAGTTTTAGATTCTGCTCTTTCCAGCTAGAAACCTGCTGACCAACCCAAGTTAGGAAGTCTATTTAAGTGCGGTGTCACACACCTGTAATCCCAGCACTCAGGGAGGCAGAGGCAGGCAGATCTCTGTGAGTTGAGAGGCCAGCCTGGTCTACAAAGCAAGTTCAGGATAGCCAAGGCTACATAGAGAAACCCTGTCTTGAAAAACCAAAAAAAGAAAGAAAGAAAATCTATAGAAGGAAGCATGTGCCGAGCAAGTGCTTTCCATTAGCCCCGCAATGATCTTGACCACTTAACGACTAGAAGGACTGACAGATGGCACAGGGACCTGGGCTGTGCAAAAGCATGCTGAAGGTAAGGTTTCCATCAGGTTCTAGAAAGCCGAGGCTTGATGTCCCAATACTAAAGGCTGGCAAGCACAATGCTTTGTTCAGAGTAGTAATACATACTTGTTGGCTTGTGTTCTTTGCTTGGTATTGGTAAGAACATTAAAACTTTTTAGAGCCAAGTGTTATACATTTAGAGTGTTATTAATATGAAATAACAGTCATGTGTTTGATTTACGATGGAATCTGGAAGAGCAAGCACGAGCCATTCTTTTGGCAAGTCCCTGGCACCAGCCTTGCCAGCAGCTCTCTTTTGTAGCCCACATACCTGTGGCTGGGAAACTGTGGGTCTGTGCTTTGTACTTTGGTCTTGATGTGCTCTAGGGTAGAAGTGGTGGGTGGAGTCTCTTTGTAAATTCTTGCCTTTCCCTCCAGAACTCTCAAGGGCCTAGTTTCCTATTTGGCTTGTATTTTGCACACTCCCCGGGTTTGGATAACAGATGAGCCGCCCCAAGAGAAGCACAACCATGGAGAAAAACCTCTGTCCCCTCCCCCCTGCAAGCAGCCTGTGCAGTATTTGAACAGCCACCACCTGACAGCCTTGTTTCCCTATTGAAGTCCTTCCTGTTGGTGATACAGAAGTAGGGGCAGGCTGTAGGGCCCAGCTACTGAGGTCT